ACTTGATATGTCCTTCCTTATCCACGCATTCTCATTACACAAACGTCAATCCATCCTGGTTCTGGGTGACAATAAGGGAATTGGAAGTTGCACTCAACTTCCTCGGGGAGAAGAAATGAGGGTCGGGGTGTTTTGGTGACTCACCCAGCACACAGCTCATTCGAGGTGGGGCCAGCATCCCCATCATGCCAACCAGGCCACAAGCTCAAGTCTAAGTGGTGCTGAAATGTGCCAGCAGGCACCTCGGGGGCATATCCCCTGAGTCCACAAGCAAGAAGGCCAGAAGAGCCAAGGAGATCCCATTCTCTCAGGCATCAGACATTACACCTGCTTCCTTCCCGAACTCAGAGCTCAGGGAGGAATAAGGTGGGCCCACATCCTCCCCCTTACACCCCTGGTTGTACTGTTTATTAGCCGCATACCTCCAGACTGGTCACTTGACTGCTGAGAGTCTAGAAAAAAAACAGTAACAATACCTACAACCTCACCAAGATGGTATGAGGGCCAAAAGAGAACGTCTGAATGTCCTCTGAAGACAATATAAAAATGTAAGCTGTTGCTGCTCACGAGTGTTACATATTTATGACACGGTATCTCTTAAAAAGTCATCGAAACATAAAGAAATCACAAAAACTGCCAATTGCATGATTTTCAGAATTGTTTCTTGTCCCAGATAATTCCCTGCCCCTCTTACCCGGCAGACCTGGGGTGGGTCTGTTTCTAACCTGGCGGCTGTCCTTTCTGTCTGCCTGCTGGCTGCCCCAAACTCTGACAACACCTCCAAATGGCACGGCTTGAGTTTACTCATTTCTAAGGCAAATGAGCGGGTTCGCTGATTTTTCTTTCCTCTGTGCCAGGGGCCAGAAGTAGGACAATGAACTAAACCACGGGGCTCAAGAACATAATCATTAAAGCAGGCATTGCTGCTCAACGGCCTGATTTCAGGGTATCCACGCGCCAGCAAGCACCAAGCGCTAGAAGTAAAATGTGCTTTTTTTTTTTTTTTTTAAAGATTTTCTTTA